CCACTCCAGATAGCTATGGTTCAGCTGCTTGAATTGACCAGAGTTGTTTAAACTTAACAATAGTTCTTTATTACAATCTCATTCATTACAATGAATAGTCTGCCCTGATTCTTCTCTCTTTTCCAAATGAGGTTGCTGGCTATTATCTTTTTTTTTTTAAAGATAGTGACAATTATAATTCCTTCCTTCCTTCAAAAGAAAACAAATGCTTAAAACTTTCTTGTAAAAGCCATCAGAACTTTGAGGAAAGAATGCTAATTTCTAGAGACAAAACAGTGCCATGGCTACTTCAGAGCTTTTGCCTAAAATTTTCAGGCGTCTTTCATTTAGTTACAAAGTTTTCTTCCTGAGAAACATCCCTAAGTTATGTGAAATAAGGTTGCAAAGGTAGGTTGATGCCAAGTCTGGAGGGTTTTGAATACTATTCAAAGGACTCTAAACTTTACCCTATAGACAAGGGAGAGCCAATGATGTTTTCTGAGGTGTAAAATGATATATTTAGGGCTGTGAATTAGGAAAATTAATCTGGTAATGCTGTCTACAGTGGAAGTAAGGGGCAATCAACTTGATGGAGGCCACCATAGGAAGCTATCACAATAGTCTAAGCAAGAGGCAATGAGGACTTCAATCAAGATTTGAATTGCAGCTATTCTACTTACTATCTGTGAAACCTTGGGCAATTAACTTTCCTTCTCTAGATCTCTGTTTTCTCACTGGCAAAACAAGAGAATTGGACTAGAGGAATTCTAAAGTTCTTTCAATCTGTAAATCTTATGATGATATGATAAAAAGTTAAAGGAGGGAATGGCAAAGAGGACTCATTAATGATAATTTAGAGCTAAAATTCTTAGGATTTGTTGTCAATTGGATTTAAAGGAAGAGTCAAAGGCAGAACTGAAAAATGATTCCAAGATTTTGAGTTGGGGTGATGCCAATAATGGCAGCACCATTAACAAAAATAGGCAAGACAGAAAGATGAGAACATTCTTGGAGAAAGATGATGACTTCACATCTGGACATATTAAACTTGTGTCTGAATGGTAGGAAAGAGTTCAGGGCTAGTGAATGATATAGACTGAAAAGTTATCTGCATAGAGGTGATGGTTGAATCTGTGGCAGTGGATGAGGTCACAGAAGAGGGAGGCAGAAAAAAAGAGAAAGGACCAAGAATAAAGTCTGTGGAAATATATTCATGCAGTTGGAAAGAGGATGAGGAGAAATAAATAAAAGAGACAGTGGTCAGAGAAATGATTAAACGAGAAGGAGAAGCAGAAACTATAGTGTCACAGGCTCAATGGAAGAAAAACATGATCAGTACTGTAAAATGCTACAGTGAAATTAGAGAGGAGAATGACAAGCCTTTGGCTTCATCAATTTGAAGTTGATTGGCAATGCTAGAGAGCAGTTTTGGTAGAATGATGAGAGGGTTTGAGGAGTGAGTGACTGGTGAAAAAGTGGAAGCACTGAATGTAGATTTGTTGTTGTTTCAGTCTTGTGTGACTGTTTGTGACACTATTTGGGGTTTTCTTGGCAAAGATACTAGACTGGTTTGCCATTTCCTTCCCCAGCTCATTTTACAGATAAGGAAACTGAGGCACACAGATTTAAGTGATTTGCTCAGGTCACACAACTAGTGTCTAAGGTCATATTTGAACTCAGATCTTCCTTGTCTCTTGGCCTAGAACTTTATCCACTTCATTATCTAGCTGCACCAAATACAGCTTACTTTTTCTAAAAGTTTGGAGACAGATATCATGATAGATGGAGAGAGGTAGTAGGGTTATGGAAACTTTTTTAAGTAAAGTAGACCTGAGAATAATTATATACAGTGGGGAAGGAGCCAGAAGAAAGGGAGAGAGTGGAGATACATGAGAGAAGTACAGGGATTAATAGAATTATGGATCAATGTCCCATGGAGTCACAGGCACAGGCACAGGATTAGCTTTGAAGAGAGAAGCCATGTTTTCCTTGGAGACTAAAGAGAAGGGCAACAGGGAACATTAAGTGACAAAGAAGTTTCAAGATAAGGAGTTGGGGATTTGACCTGTACAATTTAAAAGGCTATTTGTGATACTTAATCATTTATTGGATATTTATTGTCTTAAGCTTATTATCAACATTTATATTTCTTCAGATGTACTGAATCTAAAGCAAGATATTTCTTAAATGAACTTTTTTGGGGGAATTAAATGAGAAAAGTCAATCAGCTTTTTATAATCATAAAGTGAGTGATCCTACTACCCAGGAGATCAAATATAGAAAGAGAAGTCATATGTATATATATATATGTGTGTGTGTGTGTGTGTGTGTGTGTGTGTGTGTGTGTGTATGTATAGATATGGATAGATAGATAGATAGATAATATCTCACAGTATTCAAAGCAGTATTTTTTATGGTAGCAAAGAAGTAGGAACAAAGTAGATCAATTAATCAATGGCTAAACAAATTATAGTAATATGAATGTAATGGAATAATATGGTGATATAAGAAATGATAAATATGAGGAATTCAGAGAAATGTGACAAAATTTATGGAATAATGCAGAAGAAGCAAGCATAACCTAGAGAACAACACATACAATTATTACAATAATGTAAAAACAAACAAATCCCCAAACTGAACAACACTAAAAGGTAGTCAAACTCAGATTCATTCCCAATTCTGGTCTCAGAAAGACATCATAAAACACATTTTTCTCCTCTCAAAAGGTGGGGGATGATGTTGGCAAAATGTTGCATACAGCGTTAGATATGGTCCTTTTCTTGTTAGTTTTGTTTGTCTTTTTTTTTTTTTTAAATAAGGGAGGATCCAAAAGCGGGAGGAGGGAAGAGGGAATTTATCGGGAAATGACTACGGTATAAAAAAAGCATCATTAAAACTTAAAAATTGCATGAGTATTTAATGGACTATGTGTAACGAGACTGTCTTTATATTAGTTCAATTACAGACTTGTGGACATAGTTCAATTACAGACTTGTGGACATATGTTCACAGACTTCTCTGGCTTTACTTTAACTCTTGTGCTATGACTAGAGCCTGCTGTGACTGATGAACAGAAGAGAGATTTTTTTTTATTCCCCCTATGTCCTAGAAAACAATTCTAGAAAACAGACATATGTCAAATTGTTCTGCTCTTATAGGTTAATTTTAACTAGGTCTATTCTTAAGGTCTTATCTAGTGGTAGCAGTGTTAGAATTGGCCTGGTGCTTGCACATTTTCTGAACAACAATATTTCCACTATTGCTTTAAAATGGTGACGCAAAAATCTGCTGAAGAGACCAAAGGGAACCTTCCTCATAACTCTCATGAAAGGTATTCTACCCTTTAAATGGGCTTATTGAAATGAGAATTATTTCTTACTTCATAGGTATCTGAGTCCACAATTGTAAAAGAGTTTAAGTTTGTTTTTCTCATTTCTGTTTCTGACCAAGAGATGTGGAGAAAGGACAAAGAGTACTGGACTTTAATAATTGACAGTATCCCAGTTTTCTGTCCTCTCCCACCCTAATAGGACTGCTCCTATTCCCCAGGGAAATCTGCATTTTAATTCAGCTAAAAGTGTTTTTTAAAAGAAGTAATTAATGGTAGTATAATTTCTTTTTTTAAAAAAACTTCCTTTCTATTTATTTACTTAAATTTATGGAATAAAACAAGCATTTCCATAACATGGTACAATAAAAATAATGATTGTACATGAAACTGCAAATCTACCATGCACAACTTGTTATTCCTTTCAAATATAAAACAAAATTATCATACATTTCTTTTTTTTCTTCCTCCCTCCCCCCACCTTAGAGATGGCTACCATTAGACACAAATAGGTATATATACACACACATGTAAAACTATTCCATACATACTTCTATTTCATATGTCCTTTATTTAGGAGAATTTTAGGCATCAGACAATAGTGGGTGGAGGGGAGGAGTATCTATAGTTTAGTTGGCTTTCCTGGATGCTCTTGAAATCAGACTCTTATAAGGTTATTCTGACCAGCAGAAAGAAGTGGCTTTCCCTTCAAAGTATATAGAAAGAGCACTGTTGGAAAGTCACAAAAATGGGTCCTAGCTGGCCCTACCACATAGTTTTATCCCCTAGCCAAGACTATACCTGTTTGGACCTGATTTAATAAATGTTTTATATTTTATCTTTGCTTTGCTGTAAGTTGGAATAATTCTTTTGTCCAACATATATCATAGTATGGGGCACATAGTAAGTGCTTAATAAATGCTAGTTGACTTGACTTGTTGACTTGACTTTACATGGCTAAAACAAAGTTCACAACTGAATGTCCCTCTACCTCTCTGCTTCTTCCACACAGGAAGATAAAGTTGCATGAGAAAATTTTCAGTGTAGGCACCAATTTTATTTTATCTTTCTATCCTAATATGTTTTCTCCTGTGGCATAAGGACTAAACCTGAAATTTCACTGATAGAGGGAACTCTCAGCATGGTATGTGCAACTCAGAGTCTTTGAGAGTTTCCTGGAGTACACTGTGATATTAAATGATTTTCTCAGGGTCACATAACTTGTATGTATCAGAAGCAGTACTTGAACTTAGATCTTTCTGGCTCCAAAGTCAGATCTACTATGTCACAGCTGCCTACCCCGTAAGCCAGAAAAATATCCTTTCTCTGAGTCATTTTTTCATTGCCAAATTTAAAGAGATTTAAGAGACGCAGGCTCTTATGCCACAAAGCCCTCATGATGTGTTTACTCCTCAAAGTGCTTGAGCTAATTAATTATTTCCTTAACAGACAAAAATCTGGCTTTAAAAAGTTCCTACAGACATATTTTTTTACTTTTAATGATTTCCTCCCTTATGCTTTTAAATTTTTCTGGGAAACAAAAAAGAAATTTAATTGGATTCTCAACTTGGTATGCCAATTACCATTCATTCATTTAGTCAGTCACCCTGGCAACAAATATTTGTTAAATGCTTTCTGTGAGTATTACTGTGCAACAGGCATAGGGACAGATAAAAGATTTCAACGAGGCAAGTCCCTGAACTCTTGGACTTTATAATCTTGGAAAGCGATGAGGCAGAAACAAAGATATATGATACTTAAAGGTGCATTAGAGAGGCAGGGAACAAGGAGACCTACGAGATCTGAGGAGAGATCATTACCATCAGAGAGGAACAAGGATGACCATGTAAGGTAGGGAGATTCTTAAAGGCTGGGCAAGCCTTCACTGGCTGAATAGGGAAAGTTGAGACCTACAGAGGGAATGTGCAAAGACAAGAAATTCTGAAAACAAATGGCCCATCTGGGCATAAAGAGTAATCCAGTTTGGCTGGAACAGATAGCACAAAGAAGAAACTAGTAGGAGACATAAGGTAAGATGGTACCAAATTGTAGAGATCCTTGAATTTCAGGTGAAGAAGTCTGAACTTTACTTTGTAACAAGACAACAGGGAGGCACTGGAGATTTTTGAGCAGATAAACGACATGATTGATCCACGCATAAGGAAGAATAAACTACCAGCAGGGGTAGGGATGTGTAGGAGAGAGGGCAGCAATGGGAACACTTATTGAAAAGTCTTTTTCAATAGTTAAGCCTGTAATAAGGTGTTATGGGGGGGCTTGCCCTAAAGCGGTGGCAGTGAGAGTTCAGAGAGAGGATGAATTCAAGAAATGTTATAGAAATGGAATCAACAAAAATTAACTGGAATTGAAAGAATTTTTAATAGCTTATGTGATTCTGCTGTTCTGCAAAGAGTTCTTGTTTGGGCCTCACTGGAACAGACTTCTCATCATCTGGGAGTTAGAGAACCTAGGAATGTTTTGTTTCTCACACAAAGTCATTGGAAATTGACACAGAAGGCTATGTTTGCTGGCCTGACTGTCAGATGTTACCTGACTGGCTATATGATACTGAATTTTTTAGCCACATGGAGATCCTCAAAAACAATTTACCAAATTGTGGAGGGATTGTAGTCTTCAAAGGTGGAAGAGTATTCATGCAGGAAAGCCTAAAACTTTAAATTATTTCAATATATTAGTTCCTCTTCAGGATTCAGAGATACTTTGGAAAGAACAGACACAGACATAGAAAAAGTATGGCTATAAAACTGGGTCCTAACACAGATCCCTGAAGGAGAAATAATTTTACATGCTTTCTAGCAAAATCAAATGCAGTCAGTGAACATTTATTATTGAGATTAAGATATTTGGGGCATATAAGGTATTAAGTTAGTTGAGATGCTCAGTTCTGAAACACACAAAGAAGTACCTATTTCTATTTTATAATGTTATTATATCAAAATAATTCTACACAAAATTTAGGAAGTATTTTAAAATAAAAAAGTTTCTCATCTTTCCTACTGACTTCCCTGGCTTCCTGAAAGTCCCAACTAAAATCTCACCTTCTATGGGAAGTCTTTCCCAACCTTTCTTAATTCTAGAGTCTTCCCTCTCAATCATTTCCTATTTATCCTATGTATAGCTTGTTTGTATATATTTGTTTGCTCGTTGTATACTTGATTAGATTATTAGCTCCTTGTGGGCAAGGAGTGTTTTTTGCCTGTTTTTATGTCTCCACCACTGAGGCCAGTACCTAGCACACAGAAGGTGCTCAATTGACTTCTGCAACAGATATACTAAAAATGTGTCAAATGCCACTACAATTTAGTTTCAAACCTCTGACTCTCTGAAGAAAGGGCAAGGGCATGAAAAGTTGATTTGCTGAATGAATACTTGAATGTTCACTGCATGCTTTAAAAAAACGATTCATTGGAATATAGCAAATGTGGCAATTCTGGCAATCTGGAATTTGAGAATTCCATTTACTAGCATTTATTAAGTATTTGCAGACTTAGTGATGGGCAATTTCTCAGTCTAGATTCCCTGAGAGGCCAGAAAGAATCTCATTCATTGTAATGGAATACTGTTGTTCCATAAGAAATGATGTACAGGCAGAACAGAAAAACCTGGAAAGACTTACATGAGCTCATGCTGAGTGAAGTGAGCAGAACCAGAAGAGCCTTGTACACAGTAACAGCAACATTATGCGATGACCAGCTTTATTAGACTTAACTCTTTTCAGCCATGCAACGATCTAAGACAATTCCAAAAGACTCTGATGGAAAATGCTATCCATATGCAGAGAAGGAACTGTGGAGTCTGAGTGCAGATCGAAGCATACTGTTTTCTCTCTCTCTTTGTTTCTTCTTTCTCATGGTTTTTCCCTTTGGTTCTAATTCTTCTTTACAACATGACTAATGTGGAAATATGTTTAATATGATTGTACATGTATAGCCTATATCTGATTGCATGCCATCTTGGGGAGGGGGAGAAAATTTAGAACTCAAAATCTTATAGAAGTGAATGTTGAAAACTAAAAACAAATAATTTAAAAAAAGAATCTCATTCATCAACAGGTGCATATGGCTACAAGTTAAATAAAGTGAGTAGCTAAAATGAAATGAAAAGATTTAGTAGCACGCTAATAAAGAGATGCTTGCTGGGGGCTTAGGGAAAAAAGAGAAAAAGGGAGTGTTAGCATCCTAGGATATAGATTTGACTTAGATTTTTTTTTTAAAGACATGCTTAAAGTACACAGAAAATCAGTAGCATTTTGTGGCATTTGAATGAACCAATGGGACACAATCTCACCCTGCAGGAAAGCTGGTCTGGGAAGTCTCTAATTGTGTATTGTGTGGAGCCCTTTGAAGCTAGAGTGTTGAGTGCAGCAGGGTTTTGTGTACTTAGTCTGAACTGGATAAGGCAGTTACTCAGCCTACTGAGGAAGGGGGTTGGGGGTGGGGATAGAGTGGTGATTATTGTGTCAGTTTGTTTGTTTGTTTAAAGTTAATCTGCAACAGAATGGGACATATAGTTCAGTCAAAGAGGGCATTACAATAAACAAAGTTGTCCGTTCCTCTACACAAGCAAAGAGCTGTTCTTAGCAGAACACACAGAAAGATGTAGTCTCTAGTTTAGACCCTTAAAAAAAAAGTCCAGATGAGCATATGGCTTTCTTTACAAATCAACAACAAACTGCAAAAGTCTTTTGATGTTTTTAATTGTCCTTAGTCTATTCACTTTTTATTCCTGGATGGCAGAAGTTAGGATTAAGAGTAAATCTTTTCAATACATACTTGCTTCCACATTTCAAGTATTAGTAACTTAATTTGTGTAGCTGCTCCCTCTACTGACATAGACAACAACATGCTTTTCTCCTTAGGGTAGCAAAATCTAAGCTCTGTGTGTGGCTGAAAAAAATCATTACCCAGTCATCAACCTGCTGGTAATGAACAACCCCATGTTGGGTCTATTGTTGGGTCCCTTCTCATAAAGCTGTTCAGGGTGATCAAGTCTGCCAGACATTGTGCTCCTTTGGAGCACTATGATCTTTGAGAATCTAGGGTTTCCTTCAGGTTGGAGTGAGTGAACATGACTTCATTAGAAGTACTTAAAAACTCGAGAATATTATAATTTTGGAAGTGCTCAATGAAAGCTGAACTGAATGGAATGGAAGAGACAGAGAATGCAGGGGATAGAAAGGGTAACAAGGGAGAAGAAAATTTGAGTCAGGGAAAGGAAGAGTTACTCAAATCCTGCAGGAGGGATTTGGAGCCTCTGATTCTGTGCAAATGAAGATAAGAATATTATATAGCTAAAGTCTGGAAAGCATTTACATTTATTAATCTCATTTGATTCTCATAACAACCCTAGGAGGTAGATGGGTGCTATTATTATCCCTATTTTACAGATGTGGAAACTGAAGATCAGTGATGTTAAATTGAGACGTTCAGGGTCACAACACTAGGATGATGTGTTACTCTAATGTAAATTCCTTTAGCTTTGGCACTTTCTTCTATTTCACCATTACTTTTTTTGTCAGGAAAGGTAATGGAAAGGCACCCCTTCAGCCTTACCCTGTGGCAGGGCTGTAAAGCATACACAAATGAAAAAATGATTAAGACTACTTCCTACCCAAATTAATTATAAAGGGCATATGAAGGAAGACACTATCAGCATCCAGAGAAAGAACTGTTAAATAGAAGTATGAATAGAATAATTTTACATATATATACACACATATATATAGACATAAATACATATACACACATACACACACACACACACTCCTATTTGTGTCTAAGGGTAGCCATCGGGGGGGAGGAAGGGAAGAAAATGAATAAATTTAACTGATATTTTTGTTTTATATCTGAATGGCATACCAAGTTGTTATAGCAGACTTGCAGTTTTATGTACAATCATCCTTTTTTTTATTGTAATATGTTATCAAAAAGCTTTTTATTTCATAAATTAGAAATTAAAAAAAGATTACTTCCTGCTCATGGCAAGAGAAACTGTGGAACACAAGTCCTGGGAATATTTAACTAGGGAAAAGGGGTATAATCCCCATGAGGTTTTGAGGTAGAGAAGAGAAGATTTAGGCAAGGAGGAGTGGCTGGTGGTAGAGAATTGCCTCTTGTTCTCTATTGGTTTTTCTGAGACTACCCCTTCTCAAAACCCCTATCCCCAAAAGGTCTTTCTATCTGCTTATTATGATTTGAAATTCCTTTAACAAATAATTCCATTGCATAATTACAGATAAAAGGCTTAAAAATACAAAGACTTAGAAGAGTTAATTAACATGGTGGTGAAAATGAGTTCAATCAAATTAGAAAAGATAGTGATGTCCATTCTATTCTGAGAGTGAGAAGGGGCTAGAAGGTTAGAAGCCAAAGTATGTCTGAAAGGAGGAGTGGTGGGCTTGGGGAGGCTTCAGAGATGGAAGACAAACTTTGACAACTTCATAATGTTGTAAGGAGGCTGTTTTGGTTACCTTTTTGCTAGGTGGACAAAGAGAAGTTTTGGGAAGAAATAGTTCCCATTCTGTATGGCTATACATGCTTGCACCTTATCTGGAGTTATAACAAGCAGAAGGATGCCAGCTGCTTGAAGCTGCTTGCATCTGATAGAGAAAGGAAAGGCGTAGAGGAGAGAAGCGGGGAGAATGTGACTAGAGACTTTACAAATCTTAGATTTTGAGCTGAAAAAGACCTTGGGACCATCTCCCATTTTATAGGTGAGGAAACAAAGGCCTGTAAATATTAAGTGATTGCCAGGGTCACAGAGGCAGTAAATGCTGTGCACATCAACAGCATTTTCTAGGTAAATTAGGTACATGTGGAAGACCCCATGTCCTCCAGGGAACTGCTTTTTTCAGATCTGTATCTTCTTGTTGTTAAACCATTTCTGTTGCATTCAACTCTTTGTGACCCCATTTGGGGTTTTCTTGGCAAAGATCCTAGAGTGGTTTGCAATCTTCTCTAGCTCACTTTACAGATGAGGAACTGAAGCAAAGATGGTTAAGTGACCTGCC